TATATATATGTAAATTTGAGGGAATAGGAGAAGATAAAGGAGGTTAATTTATGATAGGGAAAAGGGTAAAATATACCCCTCTACTTTCATATATTGTCTACATTTAACCTTCATTATACTATCGGATCAATTTACCCCTACTGTTATACTATCGGACCATATTTACCCCTACAATCAACAAACTTTTAAAAATATCCCTTGATCTGTTAAGTAATCTAAAATTTTCCAAATTCCTTTTATTTAAATCACTTGTTGTTCTTCTTCATTTTTCAATTTACATTACTTTGTTTATTCGGTTGTAGTATTTAATATTTTTTTTTCTCTAATTCCGAAAGCAGGTAAATGTCAATTATTTCAAAAATAGTGGACCAAGAAGAACAACAAGTGATTTAAATAAAAGGAATTTGAGAGATTTTAGATTACTTAACAGATCAAGGGGTATTTTAAAAAATTTGCTGATTGTAGGGATAAATTTGACCCGATAGTATAACGATAGGGATAAATTTAGTTTGATAATATAACGGAGGTTAAATGAAGACAATATATGAAAATAGAGAGGTATATTTGGCCCTTTTCCCATTTATGAATGCCTTAAATTAATGCTCACTTATCAAACTCACCAACCCCTTTAAAGAATTCAGCAGCCAACCCCAGCTTACAGTACACTTCATAGTCCAAAGTCACTTCACATTTAAGAAAGAGAAAAAAATAAGAATCAACCAAAATAGCATACATTCACTGCTTAAATTAAAAACCGTCTGCAGATATATAGTATATATAATTTATATATAAAGTGTATATAATAAATGTATAATCTATGTATATATAAAGAGAAAAAGAAGAATTAACAAAATTTTGGCTCGCCTTTGCTACTACAGGAGCTGCTTTTTTATGTCAAGAAGATCCAAGAATTTATACATATATGAAAAAGTTTGCGTTTTAATTGTATTGTGCAGCGTAATATATCGACGGAGGAGATTCAATTGAACCCCATTCACTAAAGGTAGCTCCATCCCTGCCTTTCATGACTTGATTCGTTGTATATATACGTATATAAATTAAACATATTCTGAACTCATCATACTATAAATTCTAGATTTGTCTCTTATCAAAACTGACAAATGAAAATGCTTCGCTTTCTTCTCTTCATTCTCCATTTCTCTCACTTTACCAAAGGGAAGAAACCAATCACTTCATCATCTTCATCCTCCACAGACCTTGTAAGTACATCTTGTTTCCATGCAAGTTACCCAAATATTTGCATTAAAACCCTCTCATCTTATAACTATGTCATTAACACCCCCAAAGATTTAGCAAAAGCAGCTGTTAATGTCAGTTTTTCAAGAGCCAAAAAAGCTTCCAATTTCCTTATCAAACTGAAATTACAAAGCAAGAGAGAAAAAGGGGCACTTATTGATTGTATAGAGCAAATAGGTGACTCAATGGATGAGCTAAGAAAGGCTCTTTCTGAGCTAAAACATTTGCACAAAGGAAATGGTTTTAAGTTGCAAATGAGTAATTTGGAGACTTGGGTTAGTGCTGCTTTGACAAATGAAGATACTTGTCTAGATGGTTTCAAAGAAATTAATGGAAAAGTTAGATATGATGTGAAGAGAAAGATTACTAATGTTGCTAAGGTTACTAGTAATGCTCTCTACCTCATCAATCAACTTGACGTTAGAAGCTAGCGGATCCAGAATTTAAAGTTAACAGATTCAACCTTTAAGGTTTATAGCGTTGAATCTGTTTTAATTTTGTTAAATTTTTAGTAATTTTCATATATATATTTCTATGTTTGGAGGGGAAAATATTAGTTTGTGTTGAACCTATTGAATCCATGCGAACCTTTGGTCCATCAAATGAATCTTGTTTGTATTAATTTTTTCTTTTTAAAGATTCTTGTGAGACACATTTATAAGCTACTGGAAATACTCTATTTTTGCATGTTGATTACTAGATTTCTGTTCCTAGTCTAACTCTGACTGTGTTGCTTTATTCGACAAATTTCTATGTTGGATCTAAAATTCAGATGTTTTACCCCTTGTCATTATTGAGAGGTCTGGAAAGGAGCAGAGGGATAAAGAAAAAGAAAAAAAAGACTGCATTTGTCGGTGCAAACCTTTAACCTCCGCTAAAACTTAGAGGCGGATTCAAAATTTAAACTTTATACTTTTAAAATTTTTAATACTGAACATATTATTACTTTTGAAATTTCGATTTTTGTCTAAATTTTAGTGGTTTTCAAAATCTAAACTTTAAAGATCCATCCTTTAAAATTTTTAATACTGAACATATTATTAATTTCAAAATTTAAATTTTTGACATATATATAGTGATTTCTGACGTCCCTACTGTAAAGGCTATATATGAGCTTGTTAAAATTTGTGGCGAGGGAGATTTTGGGTGTCATGTCGAGGCAGCTTGAGGGGTCTGCCTTTTTACACCAAGATTACCCCTTTTTTCTCGGGTGAAAGTCAAAAATAGTCAAATTTACAAGTGATAACTAAAAAATAGCCATAATTTTAAAAGTAATCGAAATTTAGTCACTTTTCATGTAAAGATAAATCTGAACAAAACATTGTTCAAAATTCGAAAATATTCCAGTATAATATACTGGAGTTAGAATTTTTTACATATGAACTTCCAGCATAATATGCTGAAAAACTCCAGTATATTATGATGAAATTCCAGCATAATATGCTGGAAGTTCATACATAAGTGCACCAATCTCCAGTATATTATGCTGGAACTTTCCGTGTTGCAGCAAAATAGTGACTATTTTTCAATGAGTTTGCAAACGCTGGCTATTTTTCATTTACCTGTCCGAAAATTGACTAGCTCGTGCTACTTACCTAATGCATTCAGTATTGAAAACTACTGACCCAACTAATCCGATGCAATTAATCAACATTCGCCCGGGGTAGGATCTATTAAAGAGAAGTGCACTCCACACCAAGAGTTTCTCAATTCTAAGGCTTGAACCCGAAACTTATGACTAAAATGTGAAGAAATCTCATTCATCCCACTCACATTCTTGAGTGGAACATGTAAGTCGAGAGTATTTAATATGATCCTTGAGTGGAACATGTAAGTCGAGAGTATTTAATATGATCCAGGAGCAATTAGTTGAGCCTTGAAGCAACGATAAAGTTATCTTCGTATGATTTTTAGGTCATGAGTTCGAGCCATAAAAGCAACCATTAATGCACCATTATTGTGCATTAGGATGGGTTGTTTACATCACAACCCTTGAGATGCGGCCCTTCCCCCAACCCTGTGTGAATGCGAGATGTGTTGTGCACCGGGTTGTCCTTTTCCAGGAACAATTAGTTCAATTTTCTACTGCTAGTTTATGCATCCATGTTGAGCTAAACATATATGATGATACAGAAAGTTTTGGTTGCAATAGAGCCTAGTGAAACCAACTAGTGTAATTTAAGGTTCTACATTTACCCCTCGACAAATGTAGAAAAGGAAAACTAAAGACTAAGAAGTGCAGGAAAACTCTAAACAAGCCAAAATTTAAAGTTTAAGAGAATAATATTGTATTCCCCAAACAATTTCCAGATAACCAAGGAAACAGTAAGCAATTATTCAAAGGTCCTACAGTAATGCCTTTTACATACAATCATTTTCTGGTGCCTAAGAAAATACGAGATCAGTTTAATGATCAAAAACAAGAATGTCACAGTAAAATTAAAAGGAAATCCTTCAGTTTAATGCTTGCTCCAATGATTATCTACAAGGAAACCTTCTTCCGCATGTCAACAAATTATGTTGCATAGGAAACGATATTACCAGTAAAATGAGGCCTTTTAGGAATTTCAGCTCCATTGTAACTGGAAATTAAGGACTAATGGATTTTCCTGACAAAAAAAAAAGGATATTGTTATGACAATATAGACATCAAGATATCTGTTTTCACATAGAAAAGGAAGAAACAAAAAAGGGGGTGTCCGGGGGATATTTTTCCTTTGAAGTTAGAATCGCGAAGAAATAAGTTTAACTTTTTTCCATAAGCAAGAAACAAGTTTTTAACTTGATTGCTTTAACCCTATACCAGATATCAAAATCATCTACGATATGGTTCATTTGCTAAGAGTAACAATCTCCTTGCCATAGGTTATAATATCAAAGTGTGATGCTCATGACGGAGGGTGGACTGAAGAGGGCGGGTCAAGCAGGACTGACAGACTTCTAGGCTGGCGAGCTTCTGAAGAAGGGGTGCACATGTCACCTTAGGCGAATCCTATATCGGAATGGGAGAGGAAAGTGAAGTGCTTTATAAGGCATGGCACAAGTTCACATAGTACGCGTGCTTTTGAGGCTCGAGGTGGCGTAGCCCAAAAAGGACAAATCCGTGCGAGCCTAGGCCCAAAGCGGACAATACGTGCCATGGTCTTGGGTCGTGACAGGAAGTCACTAAAATAAAAATCACCTCAACTCATAGCATCCTGCAATTCCCAGACTAAATCCTTATTTTTACATTTTCAAGAAAAGGAAACCGTCTAATCAAACAATACGAACCTGTTTTAATGGTTAATTCTTGTTTGCCAAATTAAAAGTAACGGATCAGCTATTGGGGATTATTAAAGATTTCTTGAGTTTACTTGCTGAAGATACTGTTCTTAGTTTCTCACTGAACATAAGCCTTTGCTATGTTGCTAAGGAATCAACAGTTCTTTTACTCCCACTGGAGATTCTTAATTTCTTCAGCAACAAAATTGAAATCTGACTTAGGGAGTGAAATTCCATTTCTCTTTCCAGTAGAAACTATATTGAGCTCCTTTTATGAAGCTAATTTCTTTCAGATTCCTTAGCTACATCTTTAGGGTGATAAAGTTCAACCTTCAAATGCCCTCTTTCTTCTTTTATTTTTCCATCTTCCTCAATAAACACTTATAACTGAATTACACTCCACTTAAACTACGCTCCACTTAGAATTACTAACTGTCCTTGCTTATAAAATCACGGTCAAAATCAACAAGCATAGACGCCTAGATACCTTTGGATGTACCAATGTTGTCACTGATATCTACTTGTAAGGAGCAAATAAGATCGATGAATTATGGCCACCAAATCCAAATGAGTTAGATAATGCCACCTTAACATCCAATCTTTCTTTTTTGGGACCAACGAGTAAATTTGTATCCTGTTGCATGAATATAGATATCATCAAATGCCAAATTGTTGGTCAAACACTAAATTGTTGCAAGAGTTGAACCAAGAGAGATAACATAAAATATGCATCACATTCATGTAAAAAAGAGAAATGTTTTCGTAATATGATAGAAAAATTGAAACAGAAGATCAATGCAAGTGATATGAACCAACTTATAAGTTTGATTGATTATTTCACAAAAGACTCCATGTTTAGCCAAATTTTGTTATAAAGAAATAGAATTAAGATAGCTTCAAATCTGCCTTAATCTAGCAACTGAGATTATGAATCAAGCTCAAACGAACAAAAACAATTGACAATGCAATGAAAAGAGAGCCATACCACACCCTCTTCTGGGTTTTCAAGATTTATATTTGGATGAACCCATCCACTTCGTATTGCCTACAAAATCGTTTTAACTCTCGGTCAGATGCAAGCAAATGAATTTTTAGAATTGTCAGCACAGAAGAGACATGTTTAAAAGGGTATTGAGAAAGATACAGTAACCAACAATCATATGGACGAGCTGTCCAACATCTAGGTTCAATCTGACAACATTATCTTTTTGTTTCATAAGTCAATCTGATAACATTATCATTTATCACAAGCAATTGCTATTAAAAACATAAATTCACATAAGGTTGCAGTAAATTTCCACGGAAAAGACAATCTTCATTGTCCTTCCCACAATCTAGGCAGATTTTATAACTAATGAGATTCCACCACGAAAGTTGGATCCGGCAATCAAGACTGTCAAATTCAATAGGGATCTTTACACAAAAAACCAGCCAGATTCACTGTTTAACTTTTCTAGCCGGTATACACAGCTTATCCACTGATTATACACGGTTATACACATATTATACATGGATTAACATATATTATTCATCCGCCGGCTATTTTTAGTTTAAACAGTTGGATAGAAGGCTATTTAGGTTAATTCTTCAATTCAATAACACTCCTCAGCACCTGTAAACTGCAAAGAATTATGAAAGTAGCAGAGAAATAATCGTTGAGTTATCTCAAAAATGGCTATTCAAATCCATATTTTTGCAAACATGTAAGTTATTTAGATGATGTCTTAAACAAGAAACTAGAAGAAACAGCAATCAAGTAGCAGCACTACTTCAAGGAATGTGAAATAAAGTTACCTGAACGGTTGCTACTGCCTCGACAGCACCAGCAGCGCCTAGCAGGTGACCGATCATAGACTTCGTAGAGTTCACTCGTAACTGCAAAACATAGAGTAGCAACTGATTAAATAGCAGAAAGAACACCCTGAAGAAACACGCATAAACGGCAGCAGTTGAGGAAAAAATCTGACCTCCGGGTTCTGACCAAAACAATGTACAAGAGCTTGGTACTCTCTGAGATCCCCCGCTGGTGTGGATGTGGCATGTGCATTAATGTAGTTCACATCTTCCTTGGCTACACCAGACTGAGCTAAGGCCTTTTCTATGCATAAGATAACGCCGGCTCCTGCTTATTTGTGGAAAATGAAGAGTTCGAGTTAATTTATTCCCTAATATAGTTCAATCTACATTACACACAAAAACAAGAGATCACGCATTTCTTATCAAGTTAAGCTCTCTTTGCTTCAAACTGAGCAACAAATTTTTGAAATTGAGATTATGCAAAAATCTTAGACCTTGGAGAAAAAAGACTGGTAATAGAACTATTTTTAGTGCAACTCAAACCAAAAAGTGATAAAAGAAACGGAAATTTGGAAACAATATTAGGCTCAAGAAGAATCAGGGATAGCAATTTACAATTTCCGCGTGTCCATTATTAATTATAAGTTGTGAGAAAAGCAATACAAGCATTACAAACAAGAATGGCTAAACAGAGAAGGGCGACTTTATGCCATTGATGCAACCCGTGATGTTGAAAGGCAAATCTTATAAAATGCCAAAGTAAAGCTTACATAATTATCTGGATAGGGGAATTTCAGAAACTAAGAGAAAGAATTACCTTCAGGATGAGGCTCTGTCATGTGATAAGCATCACAAGTAAAGCTTCCACCAAGAAATTCAGCATAGATAGTTGCACCTCTTCTCTGCTCATTCAAACAATGAAATTAAAAGGGCATCTTACATAATTATCTGGCTATGGATCTTCTTTCTAATTTTTCTCTTTTATTTAAGAATCATGAGGCTGAAGAAGAAAAGCAATCTAATATACTTAATAAATCACCTTGGCATGCTCAAGTTCTTCTAGAAGCAGTACTCCGGCTCCTTCACCCATGACAAACCCATCACGATTCTGCCCAAGATCAAAATGAAAATATGCAGTCATTTTATTTATCCCCACAATTGGACTAAAGCAAGTACTCTAGAACCAGCATTTCTATTCCAGATAAAATTAGTGCATTTCCAACTAGACAGCAGTACGAGAACAAGACGAAAAGAATTACAGGACATTACACTATCCCAAGGCCGAGAAGCTCGAGTAGGGTCACTGTTTCTCTGGGAAAGCGCTCTGCATGCAACAAAACCTCCCAATCCTGCAGAAAGTTAAAATCACTTGGAAACAAATAACTTAGCTTGCTAAACTAATACAGAAAAGACACAGGATACATACCAATTGGTATAATTACTGCATCAGATCCACCACAGAGCATCACATCCTGCAAGTTTTCAGTAGCAAAAGGAGAACACAAACTATTAAGGGATAATTACATTTTTGGTCCGCCCTAAAAAATAATAGCTGGAAAATGAATATGTTTTGTATATTAAGTGTAAATATACATAATCAGTGCATATGTTTTGTATATCCGCGCTGGCGTCCGTAATTAGTTTCGGCCGACGGGCCAAAAATGAAAAAAGCCCAACTATTAAAGCATGTTATTGGTTGGGAGTCCTCCCTTAGACATAAAGAAGCTTTGTAAATCAACATAAGATAACAATGAAATCTATGCTATTGAAACCTCTTTAACGACGCAAGTAAAGAAACTTACAGCTTCACCTCTAATGATATGGTTAGCAGCATTCAATATGCAGAAGTTACTCGTCGCACATGCCGTTGAAATTGAATAATTTGGACCCATCCATCCCTGCAGTTTAATTTACAAATAAACACAGAATAAGGACTTTCTTTTGACAATAAAACATAGATAACGCAAAAAATTATAATATATTGGCTAACCAAGTCCATGGCAAGCATCGCAGAGCCCATGTTTGTAGTGGCAAATGGTACACAAAAAGGATTCATCTTCTTATAAGAAATCCTTAAAGATTCTATTGCATCATTGAAGACCTACAATTCAAGCAACAGTCCAGAAAATAGACTTAAAAAAATTAACTTAGCCAACCAATCAGAACAATATTTATTTAAGAAAATAAAGAGGATCACCTTCATCCCACCCATAGCAGAGCCAATCAAAACTCCACATTTTGTTTTATCCAATTCTTCCATTACGTCTTCAGTAATTCCACCGTCTGATAATGCCTTCTTACCAGCTGTTAACATGTAAAGCATGAACTTGTCCATTCTTTTAGAAAGTTTAGGCGCAACCCAGCCAGCAGTAGAGAAAGACTTGATCTCTCCAGCAATTCTCTGCAATGGCACCTCTTTATTAACATCTAAAATACTAGAGTCAGAGAAAAAACAACCCAAGAAGCAGACGTACTGTTGGAAAATGCGAACAATCAAAAGCTTCTATCTCGCTTATGCCACTGATGCCCTGGAGCAGGTTTTCATAGAACACATCGGGGTCATGACCAATTGGCGTGACCACCCCCATCCCGGTCACAACCACTCGCCTTTCCTTGGTTGGCGGTTTCTTCTTTGATGTAACTTCCATCACTGGTTGTACAGCAACAGCCCTTATGCCACCTAGTACAAGGATGGGCACAAAACGCCAAAATTTATGCAGGGTAGTAGATAGATCTAACGGAATTTTCATTAGAAAGATGACATTGAAATTACATTCTTGAGACTAGATTATAAACAGCTAAGTATTTAAAAGGAAAAAAAAAATCAAACATGCAAAAGTTGATTCCTTCTTAGGTATGAGAATACACACTAGTGGTAGGCTGAAGAAACAGCCAACGAAACAGAGAGACGTTCACTTACTGAAAAAAAAAGAGAAGTTCGCACAGACTAAACTACAACCAAATTGCACAACAACTTGCAATCATGTCCACAAAATAACAAAGTACTCCCTCCGTTCCAATTTATACATAACAATCTCTCCATAACGGGAATCACCAAAATATTAGACACCGTCTCATTTCTATAAAAAGAATTTGCCAATATCAAGATTCAAATTCATTAAACTATTCAAATTTTGAACTTTGATGTGATGTTCTCTCTATCAAACTAATTTTTCAAACCATTACTTCAACATTTTTCTTTTACTATCACTAATATAATATGTAAATCAAATCAACTTCGTATCCAATCAAATACCGCCATATAAAATAAGACAAAAGCAGTAGATGACAACTGACAAGGGCGAGGCTAAATTTCTATCATACCCAACCTCACCAACCGGGGACTAAAAGCCATAAGCCACTGCAGAAATTTTCTTTTTCAAGTTGCAAAAGGGGAAAATAAGATTTGATTTTTCAAGTTGCAAAAAGGGGAACAAGAAGTAAACAGCATGAGGCCTTAGTTTCAAATCGCACGAAGGAAGAAAAAAAACTAGGTTAATTCTTCTCATGTGTCTAAGCTTTGGTTGCAGGTACTCGATATCTGTGCTCACAGGATTGGGAGGTATGCTGTGCAAGATAGCAGTTATCCGGTGAAATAGTTGAGATGCAAGCAAGCTGGCAGAGACACCACCGTCAATTTTTTAAAAAAAAAAAGAGAGAGAGAAAACACACACAGACAGCAGTAGCACCTGTATAACCTTTAAATTTAAGAACTCTACACAGAATCTTCAGTATAAGAATATGCCATGCACCACTAGAATAGATACTCAAACATGTATTAGAGCTCCAATTTTGGTAAAATCCAATTCAATCAAACTGAATGAAAAACGAATCAGGAAAATGACAAAATTAGCATCCCTGAACCTAAAATAACACAAATTAAAGACTATAAATCATGATTACCTGAAGTGGGATTGCGCCTGTGTTTACTCCTCCAACATCCAAAGATTGAAGAACACTCATTTCTCACTAAACAAGAATTGGAAAATGAAAGGCCATTGCAAGTCTTATTCCTATTAAAAAAGTTCTTCTCTTGCTCATTTTCACAAGCAGCTGACATGCATGCAGCTATTGACCATGACGATACAGCCGATGCAGACATTCTTGGGTCCAATTTCCAATCAAAACTCAAATCTTTTTCTTTATAATACCATCAAAAAATCAAATCTTTTTCAAATGGGTATCTTTAGAATGAAGTAAAAAGTGGTGCAAAGAGCGAGATTAAAGAAATGAGTGGCATTTTATTTGTGGGGTTTGCTTAAATCTGAGAAAACTTAAAAGAAAACAAAAGTGGTGTTGTTTTCTTGGATCTCTGTGCCACAACAAAACTCAACAGACGCCAAGTTTCAATTTTAATTTATTGTATTTTTATTTTTATTTTTATTTTTTTTCTCCCACATAAAAAGACAAAAGAGAGAGACTCAGAAAAGCCAAGTAATTTAACAAAATTGTTTGATTAATGGACACTAGGCTAATGCCCTCATGCCCTGTCATAAATTTGAAACAAGAATTTTATTTTACTAATAACAAAAGCATATTAGCCTAGAAAAATTTTATAAGATGATCGTAGGCGAAGCTACATGTCTTAAAGGACGTTCAACTAATTATTTTTCGTCAAAAAATTATATTGTATATATAAATAAAGTATTAGTACTAGATTTTAGAGGTATATATTAAACACTCTTTATTGAAGAATATTTTTTGCTTCTTTTATATTTGAACATCCTTAAAAATATTACTGATTTCGCCCTTAGGTGGGTGGGGAGGTGACTGTAGTGGATGGTGGTGAACAATGTGAAAAGGTCAAATATAGAATCTTAAAAAAAAACTCTGCTGACTGACTTTTGGATTGTGAGTAGTAATTACTAGTGTGTAGTGTTGTGTGGCTTTTGCTTTGCTTTATATTCTAGCCTAGTAATTTGGGCAGGAGCCAAAAAACAAGTACTACTACTAGTTATTGCTAGAGGTATTAAATACATTAGACAATCTAGTATACATTAACGGATTGTTTGGTAGAGTGTATAAGAACAATATTGAATAGCGTATATTAGTAATGTTGGGATTAGTAATATTGAGATTAGTTATGTTGAGCTTATTTTTTATCGACTGTTTGCTCTGATATATTAAAGATTCTGAAAGGGAAATTTTGTTGTTATACATTCTTATTCATATATTAAAAATTATGGTATTGCTAATATCACAGTTTCTAACGTATAAGAATAGTACTGAATATGGTGTATAATTAATACAAGTATTTACGTAGGTTGAAAAACACTACTCTCTCCGGTCCACTTTAAAGGTTTGTTTGGAAAGCCACCAGGTAATTAGAATTGGTGTAATTACTAGGGTAGTAATTACGCAGCCTAGTAATTACACTGTCTAGTAATTACGATGACATGTTTGTTTGTCACAACGAAATTACAGTACAATTACAAGCGTACTGTTTGGTTACACAAGTGTAATTACACAGTTAGATTACATTTTAAATAAATTATCAAAACTTAAAAGTTAAATATAGTAAATATATGCCTATAAATAATTTTTTTAAATATAAATGATATTAGATTTGGTATTTAAGATACATATTTTTTTCTTGAATATACACTAATTAGTAATCATATATTTATAACTAATATTGTAAAAATAATTTTTATATATATATTTTTCAAATTAATAATATTGAGTTTAATTAATAAAAACTAAAAATATATATATTGTAAGAACATCATGGAATATATGCTTGATAAAATAAATTCATATTTATAAATATAATGTCATAACATTATATAAATATTTGACAAAACTAATCTATCAATTCTAGCCAAAAAATGAACAACATGCAATGTGAAATAACAAGTCAATACTACCAAAACAAGTAAATAAGAACCATAAGTATAACACAATTTTAAAATTCCAAAAAAAAAAAAACTTAAACATATGTCAAATTCCGACATAATAAAAATAAATTATAATACAACTTAAGATTAGGAAACATAATAAGTTTATAACATCATGCAACAATGAAATTCTACTTTAATGACATCACTCATTATATGCCAAATTTGTTAATGACTCATTATTGCTAATACCAGGAGGTGTAGTTTCAAAAACTAGAATGATAACGTTGCTACGCTAAATAAAGAAAATAAAATAAATAATAAATAAAATATACGAGCAATTACATTGAATCACAAGAAGTAAAGGTAGAGAAATAAAAGATAAAAAATGTACAAAACATATATTTTAAAATTAAAAAGTAAAAATAAAAGAAAAAAGTAAAATAAGGGAAATAAAAAGTTATCAAGTAAATTAAAATAAAAATAAAAAGGAAAGAAATTAAAAAGTAACCTTGTAATTACACCGTGTAATTACCATCAATTCTCACCTCCCCCTTGATAATTAGAGAGTGTAATTATACCTCTCCAATTACACCCAATTACATGCTGACCAAGTAATTACTTGGCTAGACAAACATGCCGAACTGTTTAATTACACCCAATTACACCCAAATCAAATTCCTATGTGGCTTTCCAAACAGGTTCTAATTAAATTTTTGGTTGTTTTCACACATATTAAGAAATTCACCTTTTAGTATTAATTGACAATGAGAATGACTATATTAACCTTAATTTGTTCGTTGAAAATATCACAAATATTCATAAACTCTTTACTCCAAGGGCAACTTTGGAAAAAAGAACTTAAATTCTTCTTAATATCTGAAAAAATCAAATATTGTAGATCACAAGAAAAAAGACCTAAAATCAATTAAAGTGGACCGAATGGAGTACCAAACAAAAAATTAATAAAACCAAAACTAATACATATATTATTATTTTTAATATATCCTACCAAACGATCCCTAAATACATTAGATTCCTGTCTAGAATATGTTGCTAAGTTTTTTTTTCTTGTTTTGACTCTAAAGAACTATATGGGCAACCCTACTTGCACTTTGGCCCGGGAAATGCATGAATTTGAGCATTGAATAAAAGCTGCCTGAATTTGCCGCAATATAATGAAACATGACTTGTTTCTGCAACTACCTTATCTATTCCTCTTAAAAGCTTAGCATTCAACTAACCAATTTTCAAGTTGGCAAAAGAAAAAACTCAAAGTTACATAGTCATTTATATGTCAAAAAATGTAATCCCTTACTCCATAAATGAACTGTAATTAAAGGATTTAGATTATATATGTTGATAGTGTAAAGAATTTATACAATACATGTGTTGATTAACTGATTGTAGGTGATTAATACACTATTTTCAGGTTACTATATCAACTTGCTAGGAAAAGTTATTTGTTATTATAAGTCAATAACAACCTAATAGTGCGAAAATGAACAAAGCTTAAAAACTCATAATTAAATTATAAACCTTATGTTAAAGACAATACACTTATTCGTTTGTTGCATTTATTTTCCTTCCTCTGTTTTTTACGCTAGCCATGATTTCCAACCTAGTGATTTAGGAAATTCCGTGAGTACTACAAATGTCTTTCTTAAACCTCAATCTTATGTAGTACTATTAATTTTCAAACCTCATTCTACTGGACTCACTGTTCTTGGCTCGAATTTTATTTATACGCACACGTTCAATTTCAACCATCTCGATCCTCTAAAGTTCTATATCGTTTATAATAAAATTACACACATTCTGAATCCATTAACCATAAATTTTAGATTCGTCACGTTGGACAAGTTTTTGGGAATTATAGACATGACCATATATGAGATCTGCATAGTCTCTCTTGTGAATTACAAACACGTAACAAGTTGCTAAATTATTCAAATTAAAGTGGGTAAGACTAAGACCAACTTTATTATATTCAACTTCATCACACAATTGATTCCTGCCAATAAATCAGCCCCAAGCCTTCTCTCACTGTTTACATTTCTCAACTGTCTAACCTCCTAGTGACAAATTCAATAAATTTAACTTGAAGAACGGAGGGTTATAAGCCAAGAATCGAGAGGAGTAGACTTTAACAATGAAATTCTAGCTGTATAATTAAACAACAACGAAAATATAGGCCGTGTATTCCCACAAGTGGGATCTGAGCAGGGTATAATATATACACACTTTACTCTTATCTTGTGCAGGTAAAAAGACTGTTTTCGATAAACCCTCAGCTTAAGTCAAACATCAATGTTTGATCCAAAATATAGATCTTGGTTCAACCAATTAGATTTAGATAAAGAAGAATCAATCTTAGCAAATAATAATATCCAAATGAAAATGTTATCAGTTTTATGACAGATAATATGTATATTTGACCGAATGGTAATGAATTGGAGCACTAATAATAGTATTCAATGATCCAAAAAGATGGAAGATAGCATTTGTCACGACCCCAAATCCACTAGTTGTGATGGCACCTAACCCAACCCGTTAGGTAAGCCAACTAATAACCATCCAATTTCAATAATATTAATAAGACAATTGAACAAAAGGAATTATCTGAATCTTATACATTTTCCCTAAGAACTGGTAGTACAAATCATGACCTTCTAAGAATAGAGTTTACAAAGCGGAAATGAAATAAATACATCGTCTGTTTGAAAAGTACATAAACAGAGTTTTACAGATCTAAAGCTACCACGAACAAGAGGAAGCTACAACCGGGATGCAGGTACATCTTCAATCCAGCTCCCATCGATCACAGCAATATCTGCACGCAAGGTGCAGAAGAGTAGTATGAGTACAACCGACCACATATACTCAATAAGTAACAAACCTAACCTTAAGTTGAAAGTGGTGACGAGCTTGTACCAAGGTCGGGTCCACACCAATAGCCAACAACAATCCATAACAACTTAAAGAAAATAATACAAGAAGTAACTCAGAGATAAAAATGCTCAGCAAAATCATGATTTCTGAAAATGGTTCTGCCTTTCAAGTACATCAGTGAAAACCCAAATCGTTTACCGAAGTTGCCAAAAATATGAATAAGTTTGAAACAATAATTTTTCCCAAAATCCTTTCAATAATAATTAAGATATTTTATTTTCTTTCCAGATAAAAAGTGTGAAATACCTCTCTATGTCCACATATCAATGTATGTAAAAAAAGTCATGGATGACGTGATACCGTACAGCATGAGAAAAAATATATCTTTATGCCTGTATGTCATGTGAGCATGCCAATGCCATGTATCTCAGAGATAAATCATGTACTCACACTCTCAGAGTACTCAATCTCATTGTCTCACACTTTACACTCACTATGCTCAAGGCTCAGCACCCTCAATCACTCAATGCTATACAATACCTGTTGCGGCGTGCAGCCCGATCCATATATGATCATAAGACTCATTGCGGCGTGCAATCCGATCCACATATATATAGTTGACTGCGCTCACTAGGGGTG